ACACACACGCACACACATCGCATCCGCAACCAGAATGAGGAGGTTCAGCAGCGCAAAGCTTCCAAGGGTGGATTATCTCGCCTCGCTCTATCTCTCTCTATTTATTCTCGTCTCCTGCTTATTGTTTGTTATTTCTCTTCTCGCTCTCTCTCTCTCTCTCTCTCTCTCTCTCTCGCTCGCTCGCTCTCTCTGTATTCTCCTTCTTCGTCTTCTTGAACTTCTTTGATGTGCTGCGCACGCCCTGAACGAAAATACATTGCGGAAAAGCTCTCGAGGGAAGGTTGGCATGCGACTGATTCACTCTCTCGACATCTCTTTGTCTCTCGGTGACAACTCAGATCGAGTGCGCGACTGCCCTCGGCAACGGCCACACAGCAGTCGGGCCTATGCCAGCAACAGGGCGGAAGCAAACATTCAAGATCTTGTGGAAACCGCACAAACGGTAGAGTTTGCAGTTCGTGCAGCTTTTCTTTAGATTGGAGATCTGGACGCCGCGCAGGAACACAAGGCCGCCTAAAGAGTAACGTAGATTCCTGGGTGATGAGGGGCTGGGGCTTAGGGTGTCCCTACTCCCTCAACAGACACTCGAATAGCGGGTCCGCAGGTTTCAGCGACAGCTTTGGTTTTAATTTAAAACCTACCAACCTATTTGATAGATCTCTGACTGGCACACAGCGATCCTGAACAAGGCCAAGCCCCAAGAAGGAAAATACCTGCGCCTTCTACAAGGCTCTGCATAATCTCTTCATGGGTAGTTTCAGCAGCTTCTATCTGCACTTTCACCCAGCCTCATCCGTGATCTGCAGCTCACCAAACGTGCTCCGTGTTGCAATTGGAATGCCAGGGGCCTGTATGGCATCTGGGAAGCGGGCTTCATAGACACTGCCGCAATCCGCACTGCCAAAGCCATGCTGTGGTCATAAGGTATAATATTAGTTTGTAAGGCATGTAAATAAATGAAGCATGTTCATGGTCACAACCATACTATTCCCCTCCCCTACAATAGTAATAACACCTCCTAACATCAAGGACACAGAGCCCCGGCGATAATCTTTGATAGACGTATCGCACAAAAGTTTTGGCAAGGTTGACATGCTGAATGCCTCTGCCAGACGTAGCAAGGTTTGCGGCAGCATGCTGGCGCCTTGCAACTATACACTCTGAGCTGGATGCTCAAGTAAATGGATGCTTCTGCACGTAACGCAACTTCTATGCGGCCCGCAAGCAACTGGGTCCCCATCGCAAGATCCACTTGTAGAGCCCCCACGCCTTTTAGAAGCTGCCAAATCTGAGATGGTGGCCTTCCTTTGGCAGAAGGAGAAGGCGTTGCTCCTCTTCCTTGCCGTATAACTAATTTGAAATAGCTGCTGTAGGAGTAAGATGAGAGTACCAGGCGTAATCAACATTAAAAGTTCAGGTCTGGGCATCCTGCTTTTGTTTATTGTACTGAATGGAATCTAAGGGGGGGGGGGCTAGGTTCAACCTTATGTTTGCTTTCATTCCCTGGTACTCTCACGAGAACCGCAATGACCTCTGGATAGGCTCTTGCTGTTTTGCCCTGAAACCAACATACACGCACATAGATTTGGATGCAGGCCTAGGCTGTTCTCAACATAGTTCGCCTGTCTGGCTACTCTTGAGAATATGAGGCCTATGCGTGCCGGCAAGGATTGGCCGCAGGTCTTGGGAACCATCAAGCGGCTACCATCGTATCATCTTGTGCTTCTTCCTTCACGGACCTTGGGAAATGGTATCGGCCACAATGACTAGCAAACTCGTTATACAACTTCCATAAGTGGGTTGTTGCCTAGACCGACCCTCGGCAATCTAAAGTCCACCAGAAGCCAGTCCAAGCCTGCAGCACCAGCCGCTGGGGCGGGCAATCTGAAAGTATGGGCGGGCGAAAGCCCAGCGACTCCTCTGAATAGCAGAGGCCAAAACGGACCGCGTTTCTGGGAAGCCCCTAAGACAAGGGCTTGATAATTCTGTCTACCGTCTGGACACATATGAGCTCTGAGGTTTGTTCTAGGGACCACCCTGGTGTCTGGTAGTCAGGAAGCAGGATGCCGTGCCCACTTTTGCAACTCGAGGCCCTGCTGTACACCCGACATCAGCGGGGGCCACGCCCCAACAAAGGCATTGTTGCGAAGATGCTGGCAGCCATACTGGCTTCAAGGAAAACCTAGGTAGGCACGTTAATTACGAAACACTCATAATTTTGGTAATGAGGAACTATGGGACATTATCTGGTCAGAAGTTGTCTGTTTCTACGAGCACCTAGTTGGAAAACAACATTTGAAGCGTGATGGGGGTGTGGGGCCTCGGGCGGCCCCCACGCGCCCTGCAAGGACCACACAGGAAGTACAAAACCCCAACGTCTCCTTGAGAAATTAACTATATCCCCGTATTATCCTATAGAACCCCAATGTACTACAGTAGTTCCCACTTTCCTTTCCATTATCCCTATATAATCCCAAAAAATGTACCCCAAAATCCAGTCCCGCAGTCCTTGCATGACTTGATGAGGTCATTCAGAAGGGTTGCGCTAATCGGCCGCCCGGCAGAGCCAAACCTCGTAATATTGGGGTATACCGGGGTTATATAGGTGTAATGGAAAAGAAAATGGAAACCACCTCTGTATATTGGGGTTACATTGGGGTTATATTGGGATAATGGAAAAATGGAAACTACTACAATGGGGTTACAAAGGGTTTAGAGTTTGGGGTTTGCAATTGAGCAGTAGCTGGACAGGGAGCTTTACCTCGGACCTGAAAGGAAAAGTCTCACGCAAAGAGCCAGTTGGGTAAAACACTACCCTAAACCCTAATCTTTGGATATAACCCAGAGGTGAAGAAACAAACCACAAAACCACAATCCCTTGCCAGAAGTTGAGCTAATTGAGTTTGTGTAAGGGGCTCTCCTTTATTATATCTATATATATATATAGCCATTACCACTCACCATGAAGTCAGCAGACATGGGTCATGTCCTGGCACGAGCCTTGGCGTGGTTGTCCATTGGGTTACATCGTCCTCCAGTGCGGTTTGAGGCTGCATGAAATAATCGCGAGTACCTTCCGGCAGTGAGACCCAGCAAGTGAGCCGACGCTGTTGTGCCCATCACCCAACATATGTGAAACCCAGCAAACACTTTGTGTCGGCTTCCCTGGCCGAGTTCCGTGCGTGCCCAATGCCGTTCCCAACCCCGAAGACTACCACCTTAACCCTGTGCCCCTGCATCCTTTGCAAAAGCAGCAAGAAAGAAGCCCTCGGTGTCGAACATGTGTGGCCAAACCTGAGACCAGCAGTTGAAATGCTTTCTTGAGCTGGTTCTTATTGGGATACGAATAAGATGAGTTCAAACTACTGGTCTCGACTCCTGATTCGGGTGCAATAGGAAAATGGATGAAAATGGAACATGATATCACAAGCAAGGTTCTAGTGCTAGTTCCTGTGCTGGGGGGAATTCGTCAATTTCATTGCGACTACCTCTCCAGTTTTGCAAAGATAGGTTCAAGTCTTTGGGAAGATGTATCAGTCCCATGTTCCAAAAACCCAAAGCGACCACTGCCTTGCTACAAAACAAAATGGGAAGGTCCTAAAATTAGGGGTACCCTTTTTGGGGGTCCCTATATAATAAGGACTGTAGTATTTTGGGTCTATATTGGGGTCCCCTTATTTTGGGAAACTACCAAATTATTCTCTTGTAGAAGCTCAAGGAAAGCTGCAATCAAATACCCATTAGCTAACCTCAAGAAACAACTTAATAGGAATCGGGACAGAATGCGTCGTGTGAGACCTATTGAAAATTCGGGTGTAAGCTTAAGGCCTCTTATGATGACAACTGCTACTCCTACTCAATACTCATTCCATTTTAGCATTCAACTATTCTGCGTGCTGCTGCCGCTTACAGCAGTTGATCTGGCAATGATGGGTAGGGCCAATGCCATGCTGACCGCTACCATGCTCTCAAACCAAAACTGTGTGGTTATGCTACCGCAAACATGGGCGAGGCGTCTCATGGTGGTGCCGCAATGGGGCAATCACTAAGCAGGGAAATCTGAAGGAGCCTCAGACCAACCCTCGGAAAGATCACAGACATGCTGCAACGCTGAAAACTCTGAGTGTTCAGGTTCAGGTTTAGGGTCCGCGTGTGTGAGGGTGTCTTGAGAGTTTGCGTCCGACAGCTATGGTCCACCTTAGGCACCTGAGGCAATAGCTTGCAGTCCGTTACATACGCAGCTGCAGTGTGCGGCTGGGACTTTTTCTCAGCTTTTGCATGCATACATCAAACGCTTTGGAGACGGAAGCCGCATCAAGATCCTTCAATTCCATATGCCCTTCGTCAAGAAGTATCGGGATCGCTTGCTTCATAGCCAGGGCTAAATCGTTGACCTGCACAGAAGCTAGCGTAATGAGTGCAAGGTTCTGATACGTCTAGCCGCCCTTGAGAAACAATGCAGCAGCTCCTTCAACACCCGGAGGATTTTCCCCTTTTGTCACTCTATCATAAACCCCACAAAGCCCAAGTTTCGATTTCACTGTCCATTTTCTTTTGATTCTCCATTATAGGGGGCAATATCCCCTTTGAAACGCATATTTTGACCACGGTGCAGGCCGGTGAGCTAGTTGCAAGTTGCAGTTTGCAACCAGCAGTGATAATCACGTAGCAGCCTTCACAAAGCCGGCAAGCTCTATGGGCAAGCTTTAATTAAAACTAAGGACAGTAATGTTGATTCAGTGTTTGAGGACAGTTCGGCCAGTCCACTCATTTTGTGTTTTGCGTGTTTGCATGGGGGTCCCCTGAATCGACTGCTACAGGTACGCCTATCGTGGTGATCTTTGCCGTTATTTGCATGCAGATGTTGCGTACTACTATAACTCACTAGGGCCGACTCATGGCAGACCTACAGACCAGCAACAGTTCCTGCTATCCCAAAACATTGCTGACATCGGGTTCGAGATTTCTCGAACACCTTGAATTTTGGAAAAGGCATTGCTTCAACAACTGTCCGGTAAAGGAAGCATGCACATGGCGAACCCACGCCAGGCAAACTTCAACAGATAGGTGCCGGTCGCCCTAGGAAATTGGCTCCAGAAGGAATCCGTAAAGGGGTACACGAACGCAAAGGTTGCATGCCGAAGGAAGAAGAACATTGCGCGGAGCCTTCGGCGCAGCGAAGTTGCAAGTGATATTGGCCAGGCCTCCAAAGACCCGAGGTGAAATATGCGGGAGCCAGGTGTGTAAGAGTAAAATGGCCAGCCTTGGGGCAAGTCGCCCGAAAGCACACGCTTTCGCAAAAGAATCGCCAAGATTGATTGCTCTGGTGTGTGAAAAAGACAGAGTGGATGAGTGTAGGGGTTTGGCAGAGGGCTTATAACCATCTTCTCGGCACACCATTTCAGCCAGTCTTTCATGATTTCATCGACCAGCGGCGACTTGCGCATGAGGATGCGATTGACACAAATGCACGGAGCATAGGCAATATCGAAGGTGTTAGCATCCATCAACTCCAGAGTCAGGGCTTTGCAGTGATTCCTGATACGCTTCCACACTGCATCCTCCAAGGGCACGAAGATGTCGGCACGTTGAAGCAAATGGTTGCAGGTGTGTGGCAAATCTGCAAGGCCGTCTTTGTAGTCCCTGTACCTAGGTTGGGTTCCTTCCAAGAGGAGTGCTTTCTATGGCAGAAAGACTTCATAATGTCCACTCCAGACGAAATGGCCACACCCTCTGCGGCAAGGGTATCTAATAGGGATCCCATTAGTCACTTGGGTCCCTTTGGAACAAGGGTTGTCCTGATCAGCTGCATCATAAACCCAAAACAAGCCAAAAGTGTACTACTTACGCAGAGCACTTCCTGATGTTTGCATCCATGAAGAGAAGAATATCCCCTGGCTGCAGCTGCGAAAGCACTTTGCATATCCTCAGCTCCGCAAAAAGAGGCACGTGTCTTTAGCTGGGACTGCATATCATAGAATTCTAGCCCTCCCCAGTTCTGGCTTGTGTATGTAAGCCCTCACTTGCAAGAAAACCCCAACCTATCACTTGCGTATGTTTACTCTCTTCCACCCTCCGCCCGCAGTAGCATTAAATAATCTGGGCCCCGCGAACTTTTCAACATTAGAGGCGGATATGTATTGAAATACTTAGATGGGGCTGCCTGTAATTTCAAATCTAACTAATATCCAACCAAAAATCATGTTGACACTGCATTTAAGTAAATTAAAGTGAAAGCTACTTAAGACCTTACCTAAAATCATCAAGGGGGCGCAGATGGGATCCAGCAGAA